TTTACTTACTGAAAAGTGCATTATTTGGTTCTCAAGTGTTCTGAGACTTTCTTGGTGTCTACTAAGGGTGTGTTGGACTCTGCTATGGTTGCAGAACTCACTGTAAACAGTTTCACTCCCTTAAAAGTGCTGTGTTTTAGCTGGGATGTGGCCTCTCACCTGAAAAGCACACACTCTTGTGGCTGTGTAGTGCAGCAATTTCTAGGTCTGACAGGTAACATCTTTTGCCACTCTCCTTGTTGATCTCTCTACTTGTTCTGTCCATTACTGAGACAGGAAACTGAAATTCTAAGTGTAACTGTGAATTAACTTACATCTCTTTGCTGTTCTACAAGGTCCTGTTGAGTGTACTTGGAGGATGTTACTGGGTGAACAAGCATTGTGCTCTTAGGAAGGCTGGATTCGAACACCATGAAGACCTTTTTTCTCTGGTACCACCCTGGGTGGCTACCTAACATTCCAGCCTTCTTTTGCTTGGTGTTAGCATGTTTTTTTTTTTTTTTTTTTTTTTTTTTTTTTAATCCTTTTACCTTTAACCTACTGTGTATTTTTATTACAAGTGTACATTATATATAAACAGGATGTAGTTTTTCCTTTTTTACCCAGAAAGGACTCTCTTTGTGGAATTTAGATTATGCATGACTACTGATATGGTTAGGTTTAAGTCTACCATTTTATCTTTTCTTCCCCTAGGGATCTCATCTAGTCTTTATTCATTTTCTCTCCTTTTATACAGTGTATATGTGAATTATGTCATGCTTTTTCCTTAGTTGGTTAACTAATTTTTCTTTAATTCTAGTAGTAGTTTAAGAGTTACACTCTACATCTTTCCTTTCTTGTTTTGTGTGCTGGGGATGGAATCCAGGGTCTTGTGTGCTCTAGGCAAGTGTTCTACCACTTAGCTACCCCCAGACCTGTGACATCTTTACTTCTCATAGTTCACCTCCAGGTGGTATTAGACCATTGCAAACAAAACATAAGAATCAGAAATATAATTCCATCTTGCTCCTCCCAACCTTTTTGCTGTTTTCACTATGTACTCTGCTGTCACATGTCATAAACTCCATGGTGTACTGTTATTACTGTCATTCAAACAATTACCTTTGAAAGAGATTTACAAAACATTCTCTCTGGGGCTTCTCATTCTTTCTAGTACACTGATGTTCCCTTTTGAATTTATTTTTTTGCAATCTAAAGGACTTTTTGCCAACATTCCTTACTGTAGTACAAGAGGCCTCATGCAGTGGGTCTCTTGGTGATGAAGGCTTTTATGCTTTTTAAATGCTTTTCTTTTGCCTCTATTTGGGAAAGATGTACTAGATAAAAAATTTTAATTTCGTTTTCTTTGTGTGTGTATGGTGGTAGTGGTATGAGATTGAACTCAGGGCCTCATTTATGTTAGATGTTCAGATCTGAATATAAAGTATTGAAGGCTTACTCTTCACAGCAGCGGTGTTCAGAGGTAGGGCCGAGAGAGGTGACTGGATCATGACAGTGCTCATCTCATCAATGGATTAACCTATTGATGAGTTTATAGATGAATGGGCTTCTAGAAGGTCAGGCCTGATTAAAGGAAGCAGTCACTGGAGCTCCTTTCTCTCTGCTTCCTGGTAGCCATGCAGTGAGCAGCTTTTCTCTACCTTGAAACAGGCCCCAAGTCAACAGACAGATCAGCACAGAACGAAATCTCTGAAACTGTGAGCCAAAATAAGCCTTTCCTCCTTTAAATTGTTAGTTTAGGAATTCTGTCACAGCAACAAAAGACTAAAATACACAGGGCAAGTGTTTTATCACTGAACTGCACACTCATTTGCTAAGAGTCCCAGATTGGCCTTGAACTCATGATCCTCCTGCCTCTGTCTCCTGAGTAGCTGGGATTACAAAAGCATATGCTATAGCTCCTGACTTAGGCTAATAGCTTTTCTTTCTTTATTTCACAACTGTTGCTTTACAGGGGTAATTTTTCAGATTTTGGTAGGAGAGCTGCTACTGTCCTGGTTTTTGCTCACTTATCTGGTCTTCTCTACTGGCTGCAATTTGGACCTCTAGCTAATCACAGTTATAAGTGGTGGGCTATACTGCCTGTGGTGCACCCCCTTCCTGTTTCCTGGGCCTGGGCCTTGCTGAGTTTTCTGGATCAGTGGTTTTATAATTTTCATCACATTTGGAAAAACTTCAGCCATTATTTCTTCAAATGTCCTTTCTGCCTACCCCTCAGGACCTCTACACACCACATGTCACATCTGTTGCAGCTGTTGGAAGGCTCAATAATGCTCACTGAGTTTTAAAACATATTTTTTGTCTTATGTTTTCTTTTTGGATAGTGTCCATTCCCTTTTCTTCTATAATGTTTACTCAGATATTCATCTTATCCAGAGTATTTTTCATGTTATAGATTGTCACTGTCATCTCCAAAAGTTTGAGTTACGTGCTTTTTATATCTCTGAATCTTGAATACATAGAACAGACTTCTCATATTGTATTATTATTATTATTATTATTATTATTATATTTTTGGTGGAAGCAGAGATTGAACTCAGGTCCTTGTGCTTGCCAGGCAAGTGCTTATTCTACTGAGCCATCTTCCCGACTTTTTTGTTTTAATGTCCTTGTCTTCCAATTCTAATATTTCTGCAGGTCCAAACAAGTTTCAATGGTTTGATTTTTTTTTTTTTTTTTTCTTTTCTTCTTTGGTACTGGGAATTGAACACATGAATACCCACTTGCCAGTCAGGCGCTGTGCCATTGAGCTATCTCTCCAACCCAATGGTTTGATTTTCTTTCCTCATTATTTCTTGATTTCTCATCTGCCTGGTAATCTAATGACGGAGTGAGGGTAGAATGTGGCCCATGTGGCCCTGGGAGAGAATAGAGATAAGAGAAGGATATAAACCTGTCCCCTATATGCTGTAATGTGATGATCAGCTCTGAAGTCAGAGAAAATGGTGACACACAGATAAGACAGGTTATCTACTTTCAGATCTAGCCTCTTCCAAGATGACTAATAAAGGTAAGACCTATGTCTCAAAATAAAGGCATTACAAAGACAGATAATTATGAGAATCAAAGTTGGCTTTAACATGCTCATGCAGCAGAGGAAAGGGTAGGTGAGACTAGGGGACTGGGGGTGTGAGCTCAAGTGTCCTCAATCATAGATATGCTGCTCATTGCCTGTGGCTCTTACCTGTTGCCTTTTCTGCCCTCTGGGTGCCTTCTCTGTACTCTGCTACCTTAACTTGTGCCTTGTTTTACAGCAGATCTCTTTTTTGTGCACCCAGGAGCCCTTCCATATGGTACCATGGCCAAGCACCAAGTAACAGTGTCAGTAAGTTTCTAAATGTTCCAGCACAGATGCCAAAGACAATGAGGAAGAAGAGAAACAGTTTTGAGATGACTTCCTGAAAAAAGCCCTTCTGTTACTTAAATGTGGTTCTTTAATGAATCTGAAGGGCAAAATGGAAATGACAAACAAGAATTGTTTCCTGAACCACAAGACCAAACTTTCAGTAGAGAAGAATAAGTCTTAGTGTAACAGAGACAGGCAGTGTGAGTATGAGATATGCTAAGCTGCAGTTCTGATGCTGAACTTCCCCACTGGAGCTAGAGGCCCAAGCACCATCACTGTGACTCATAGAGGCCAGTGATCCTGGGGATTAAGAATGGCTTTCTGGGATAAATAAGAAAATGGGCTCTAGTTCAGTCCTTTAACTCTTAAACCTAGTATAGTCACCAATCTTTTAAGTAGTCACTACTTATCAGAAATTATTTTAATGGGCAGGAAGCAATATTTTGTTAAAATATATTCATTAAATATTTTGTTAAAGAACAAACAAGCAATAGAAGAAATCACTGGTCAGAGCTGTATACAGAATATATGGCTCAGCAAGAGTCAAAGCTGAGCACAAGTCAAGGTCAAGCTTGAAGTAGCTGAGGGCAGGCAGGGTACAGGTCCCAGGATAAGGAAGACTACAAAAATCAGGAAATTACCTGGATATTTCCAGGACTGCAATCATATAACAATGAACTATAATCGTGGTCAATGCCCTTAGGCAGAAAAACAAGAGACCCAAGAATTGGCCAACAGTTAGCAGATTGTTCTTACTTGTAAGTGTAATGATGGTCTACACAGAATGTCTAAAGGACTCTATAGGGTAAACAACTAGAATAAGAACTCATAACACTGCTGAACAAGATCAGTAAACAAACACTGTACACTCAATGACAAGTGAAAGAGTATATAACAAAGACAGTATTCACAAGAGAAGCAATCAAAGGTGATACTATCTGTTAGGAAAAGCCATCTGCACATCCTCCACAGTGGTTACCAGGAATTGGCTCCCTGGTACTAAAACTGAACGAATACTGGTGGTGTGGGGACATGGCTATTCAGGGGTGCAGTGCCCAGGTAAAAGGAGGGGCTTGGCCAGATTGGCATGGGTGGGGCTGAGCAAGTGCTCAGGGAACTCACAAGAGGTCAGGTCTCAGAAGCAAGGTCTGGGCTGGACTTGAGTCCAGGGGTTTATTGACTGATTCAAGCAGAGAGATGTGTGAGTAGCTCTGTGCAGGATGGAGAATAAGAGCACAGTGCAGAGGATAGGCTGGCCTGAGCATGGCCAGTGCTTGAACAATGGGCCCCAGTAAATACAGGTGAATGATACCCTTAAAAACAGGTGGGGTGAGGCAGGTCCGAGTGACCAGTGTGGTGTGGTCACAGGGAACAAGGAGGAGGCCACTAAGGAAAGTGTGGAGACAATAAGACAGATGAGTCTATGGAAAGGCTGGTCACTGGGGCAGCATTTTGTTTTGGAAGATGAGGGAGCAAAGCCAGGTTGGGGAGTAGGGGAAGGCAACAGTACCTGCAGGTAATGAGGCTGGGGAAAAGGCAGGAGAAGGAGCTGGTCTCATCCCACACTGTGTCCCTGTCGTTAAGGATGGAGAAGCCCAGGGTGCCATGCACAGCACGGCTTCCTATCCTCACGAAGACAGATGGAGTTACTCACGCTATCCACTGCCAGGATCTTGGCCCAGATGAAGACGAGGAGTGGCCGCAGCTCTCGGGCTGAGCTCTGGAGCAGCTTCAACACATAGGGGAAGATGCCCACAGATAGGGCCTGTGGGGAGAAACAGTGTTAGCATGGCCAGTCCCGGCCTGTTTGCCTGCAGGGAGCAGGGTGCTACAGATGACGGGCCATGCAGCTCTGGGACAGGGCTGGATGCTCCCTGCAGATGTGCACCTCTCGGGCTTTATGCTTAGCAGCTCCCAGAACTGCCAGCATTAGCCTACATTGAACTGGTGGGAGCTTTTCCTCATGGAAGAACATGCTGGGAGAAGAAACATAGAAGGAATCTTTCCATTTTAGGTTTTTCTCTCTCCTTTAGTGTTATTTTTCCTAATATTTTCTCTCTTCTCCTTCATTGTTGGTTTATCCATGCTTTTTGTAAACATTCAATTAGTGAATAACCTGAAATAGACATTAGCAGAGTGATTTGGTGACTTCCCATGTGTTCATGGGCAGCCTCTAGCCCCCATGGTCCCACTACTGGTGTGCTGCTCCTCCACTGAAGTTCTGCAGCAAAGGGGGCATCATGAAACTTCACTTGTGAACATTTAATGTATATCACTTACCATGAACAATCGTTCTTTCATAATGTGCAGTTTGTATACAATTTCTCGTTGTTCTATAAATACTAATTTTTGTTTTTGTCTATTTTTTTTGAGACAGGGTCTCCATATGTAGTCAACGTGGGCCTTGAACTCAGAATCTTCCTGCCTCAGCTTTCCCAGTACTGAGATTACAGGTGTTACTATTATACCCGGCTATGTTCTGTGAACACTGATTTTCAAACTTTAGGTTTTAGTAAATAGGGTGGGGAAGAGAATGGGGAAAAAGAAAAGAATCAAGATATATTATGTACAGGTACAATTTCCATAAGATGAATATGATTAATACATATGATAAATATGTACTAATAAAAATAAAGTTGAAAAATTTTAGTTTTCAATAATTTGTAAACAAAAACAAAGAAAGTCTATATATTGTAATTAGAAGACAGTTCTCTTGAATCTCCTTTAACCTACAGATTTTCTCTCTCTGGCCCTCTCCCCCAAGGTAAGGAGAAGGCACACACCAGGCTTACTGCCCAGGGACCCAAGTCCAGAAACCTTCCCAGCAAGTCCAAGGCTCTCAGCCGGTGCACTTGGCTTAGCAGTACCTGGGGAAAAAAAAAAGGATAAAATTATATTTTTATAGTCATTTATGTTGACGTTTCCTGTATGGTGTCTATGTCGTAGATTGTGTGTACTGAATCCCTCTGATCCAGACCATTTCTAGCCACTGCCCCCTGTCTTCACAGGTATTTTCAGAACATTTGATTTGTGCTGGGGGAGTAACTAGGAACACATACTCATTTGCATGACGATGGTAGGCGGTGCTAGATGATCCCATAAACCAAATCTCTGACCTGGTCAGGGTTGGAAAGGGGGTCTTCTCCCAGCTGGAATATGCACAGGACACAGCCAGGCAGCAGATTCTGAAGGGTGACTTGGGGTAGGGGGGATTTCCTGCATTATGGGAGGAGGAAGGCTGGACAGGGCAGGTGGTCAGAGTGACTACAGCAGCCATGGATTGGGGGAAACTGCTATGACTAACCCTCCTGCCTCTGCTTAGCGGCACAGAGTGAGCTGTCCATGGTGATGATACACTTTAGTGCTGCCACCTCTCACTGTGAGAGTTGCCAGTGGAAGACTCTAAGCAATGCAGAGTTTTATATTAACCTCAGAGGGCTAATATAACTTTTGATCTCTTTGTCAATAGAGGGTACTGGGGAAAATGTCAAAAAGTGGTTTTTAAAAACCGAAGTTTTTCATACACACACACACACACACACACACACACACACACACACTATCCCCCCCCACTAGTATTTGGGATCCAACCTTGGGGCTTCACTTTGAGTTACATCCTCAGTCTCCACTTCATTTTAAAATTATTTTGAGACAAAGTGTTGCTAAGCCACTAAGTCACCCATGCTGGACTCAAACTTGCCATTCTTCAGCTTCATCCTCCCAGAGGGCTGAGATCATATTGATTCACACTTTTAAGAAACTGAAGCCTTGGGGCTGGTGAGATGGCTCAGTGGCCTAAAGCACCTACTTAGAACAAGCTTAGCAAAGCAAAGGGACCATGGTTCAATCCCCCAGCACCACATGCCAGCCAGCCCTGCCCCCCTGGTGGGCTGAGCTGGCCACACACACACACACACACACAA